AAGCCATTTTATTTACACTGAGATTTGTGCTCCGTTTATGCGATTAGTTATAGGCAATATAAATCGTTGAACATTCGATGAAAAACTTCAATGCAGTGAAATAAAAACTGGAAACGAACAACACCTACAAAATTCTATAGTTCAAACGGTTGATTCATCAAAGAATGACGACAGTTTCTGAAAGCCTGATGAGCACGATCTTTATGGTTTTTTGTACGCGAAGACGTCTCAACTATCATTTCGTCTACTTTGTGCGCAAGACAGATTTCTCGAGAAATGAACCCCGAAAATCATTTAAGCGTCTCATTCATAATTCATCTGAACCTCAAAACTTTATGCAATAAGTTCTGTGTGCCAATCTTAATTTCTCAGCCCCTCAAGCACTTTCATCTTAATAATGTGTTTCTACAGCATTGCCGATGGAATTTGAAATGAAAAAAAAGAAGCGCATCCAATTCGATCACTGTGATAATTTATCGAATTCCCTTGCGATAAAGTAATTATGAGTTCGGTTTCGAATTCTAGCTATCCGCTCGCAATATGAATCAACTAACGAGCACGAGTGAACTTCGAAGACTCTTGCCAAGTGCAAGCAACATCATAAATTAGAAATGAGAAATCCCTTACTTTATAGCCAACATACCGACAATTTTCAATCGATGAAATTATCGAATGAAAAAGTCTAAAATGTTTACTCCTGTCTGTCACATGACCGACACAAATGACCCTGAAATTTCTCAACTGTCGCATAGCAAAATCCGCTTCTCCGATTATATTTTTTAATTAAAAATTTTGAATTCGCAGAAATGGTTGCAGTCTCTTTCTGAATGTCGGATCAAACACAAATGCAAGCCAAGAGCCTAGCGGTGTGTATTTTGCTAGTTTGATGCAAATACCTCGCAAGCAAGAGAACTAATATCAGACACAATGTTTTGTTGGGTACACTAAAAAATATCCTCAAAAAAGTTACGATTTTCTCCGATCACCACATCGATTGCCGATACTTCTCGATTCATGCCAACATGAACATCATCTGAAAATTATGGCACATACCTCGCCAAATTTTCCTGCTTTGGTTATTCCATATGATATTGATAATATTGATCAAAACTCTCGGAGATTTCTGTCGTCCCAAAGCGTGTTTGTTTTTGAATCTGCATTGTTAATGCACATATGCAGACTGGGACTTGTTCCGTGAGCAAATTATGTTTTAATGGAATCGACAACACTCCGACATCTGTTAACGATGTACAATATTAATTCCACCACTCATCGTAAGCACACTGACGTGAGCCGCAATTTGTTGTGTAAAATATGCAAATAATCAGTTTATAACAGCCATGCTTCCGAATTTATCCGATAAATGTTTCCGTTAAGATTAATGAAGATGTAAATAATTCATCTTTTCCTTTTTCTGAATTCCTATGACAAAATCCATTTGTAGCATGAACAAAAAACATCTCCTCTAATGTATGAATGCAACAATTTGATCGCTTTGGAACAGTAGTCTATGAGAACTTATATCCGACGAAGAAACTGCTCCTAAATTTAGCTAAATGGATTGAATTTTTTGCTGGAAATACTTATCAGGAAACCTTTGAGGTTATACTGGAACTTTTTTGCCTTTTTGATTTTAAGATAATTGAAAATGTTAATTATTCGTTGTGTTAGTTTGTGCTGTTGAGTTTTGATTGCTCTCCGAAAGTTTCAATCGCTTATTCATGAATTCTAGAAAAGCACTCTCATGAATGCATCCGTTTTTGGATGACTACAAAAATATTGCTGTGCAGTTGAAGTACATCTTACTTGTACCCTCAGATCATGTTAATTTTGCTGAGGATCATTGCATATCAGTGCCTTTTATCACAATAATCCACAGTAGTATTTTTTCAAAAGAGGAGTCAGGAGAGATTTGGTAACATTCAACCTTCCTGAATAAGTAATTCCATATNGAAAATTATTGTTGAGCAAAAGGGGTCACTGATGGGAAAGGTTTGAGGAGCACTGATTGTATTATTCATTTAAAAAATGCTTAAGAATGAGACTGTCTCAGAACGAATTTCTTTTTAGACGCCATCTCGCTCAGCATCAGCACAACTTCCAGTGGAGAGTGCTTCTACAACGGCACCACCGATGGGCATTCTTCCACCAGGTTTGGAAGATCTTTCCGAAGAGGAAAGAGCCAAGATCATGGCCGTGATGGCGTGTGCAGAGATCGATGCCGCTGAAGATGCGAGAGCATCTTCGGCATTGTCGACAACGATCTCAACTTCGAGAACATCAGAATCATTCTTTGATAAAGAAGCCAAACCAGAGTATGCTTTGATTTCGTGATCTCAACTTTTTTGTACGCTAACTGGTGAATGTCATTCGAATACTTTCAATACTTCAATAAGAATTCTAAAAAAGACTTCGCAATGATATCACTTTAAGTGATTGCATTTTTAAAAAAACCAAACAAATGATCAAAAATCAATGGCAATTTGTCGACTTTGTAAGGATTCTTTCGGTTGCAACGATATGTTTCCATCCATGCGATTAAAAGTGCAAGTTTTCATATCGCATAATCTCTGTGAATGTGACATCTCGATCCTCACAATCAAGTGTGATTTAATTATTGTGCACACGAGGTTTCTCCTGTCATTAGTGGCATATTCATATTTGAAGTCATTGCCGAGAATGCACTCATTTAAGACATCTTCATTCGACAACAACTCCAAAAGGTGCAGACCAAGTGAGATCGTCAACGTTCAGTCTCGCCGAACCATCTGCACCTCTCATGACAGTGACAGCAAGTGCTCCCACTCCAGTTGCTAGATCGCCAACTTCACCAACACCCGGTCCCGTCTCTGCTGTACCATCATCAAGTTCTCTTTTGGATGAGGTCGATTTGTCACATTTGTCGGCAGATGAACGTGAACAAATTGTGGCAGTGATGAAAGCTGCTGAAACGCAGCAAGGACAAACCTTAGCGCCAGTGCGGTCCAGTGCCGCACAGCCATCCCCTTTGTCATCAACAGCATATCCGCGAAGCGATGAACCCGACCATCTTGAAGGTTTGTTTTCAGTTGAATGCACGTTTCAATGCGATGACTATCCATCTATCCATGTGCGTATTTATGTATGTATACATTTATGTTATTTATGTGTCTACTCGATGGATCTATCCATCTTCTCAGTTTGATTGTTTGATGCTGTTGATTCGCTGAGGGATGTTTAAGCAGATTCGGTACTCATAAGAAATCGAGTCAACAGAATAGGATCAACAAAACTGGCGATGATGAGAGATAACTGATCTCAAAATCTCAAACAACGCAATTTTTTCACTTTGTTTTTTCAACTTTAACTCTTTACTTTACCACTACATGGTTCAACAACGATTCATAGTCCAAATGCACTTCCTCTCATCATATTGTACTGCTTAAATGTACCGACAGTCACAAATATTTTATCCAGTAGTCATCAGAAAGTTAATGACAGAAATTGTTAATTGAGGTCGTTTCATCCTATTCGTCTTGTACTTGATCGCTTAGGCGAGACAGTTTTTTGATTTTACAGAGGAGCTAGCTGACAATCTTGCGATACTCTCACCAGCTGAACGAGAGCAAATTCTTTCTGTGATGCGAGCCGCTGATCAACAGGCGGAAGCAGTTAGCCACGAAGTGGATGAAGCAACGCGTTCGCATTCCCCTGCTATGCAACCAGGTCAGTAGCATCTGAACGATTCCGTCTTCATGTTCAAGTCTTTAAGTTACCCGTCTGTTCTACAGTCATTTCTCCATTCATGATCAGATCACTTCATCTACGCTCCAATAGATCGTCTATCCCTTTGTGGAACTATGCGTTTTGATGACATCCGACAGTAGAAAAAACCAAGAGTTTTCTCGATCTGCTTAACCAACATCGTTCTGATTGCGTACTTGTAAAGAACTTTTCAATTGTAAGAAAATCCTGGAAAGATGCAAAGCCCGCTATTTTTTTGTGAATGTCCGATCTGACATTGTTATTTCGATGATTTTTTAAAATTTCTATAGTCCATAAAAACATTAGAGCAAAACAGAGATAATCAGTAGTGCATTGTTGCTATGTAGCGATGGCGCGCTATTACCCATCTCTGTGGCAATGGAAAAATCCAGTGAACAGTTCTAAGCTTGTCTAATGTCTAATGAGAATGAGAATTCTTAATCTGTACTTGTCCTATGAGAATTCTTAAATGAAGCATAATTGTGTCTTGAGAATCGAAGTAACTGATTGTGAGGAAATTCAATTCACGCCTCTGAAAGTATAGAAGAGCCGAATTTTTCATAACACATGTTTTGTTGACATGAAGTCATTTCCAAAAGACCGACGCATATGCCTTGAAATGTCAAAAACATTCACGCATTTACTCACTCTCCAGTTTGTGAGCGAATGATTAATGAATCAGGCGTTATGCACATTGCACTATTGCTGATTCCCACTACCTTAGCTCATTCATGACATTAGCTCATTCATGTTAGCTCATTCATGAATGTGATGATTTGTAACCGTGTGACAAGAAATTACTTGGGATCATTCTTGAAAAAATTTCTTGCATAGAGCTTCTATCAGGCAGTGGTCATTACCAGGCTGTTCTGAGAAGAGATTGAGTTTTCTGCTCCTCAAACACATACGACGTAATGTGGCAAATAGCATTCCGAATTTGTTGATTTCTGCACGATTGATGGGTGTGTGTATTCGTTACAGTGCTCATTCATGAATCGCTTGGTGATAGAGACGGATCACGAACACGACGAATGTCAATGGAAGAACGANNNNCATCCGCTGAGGAATCACAATCGCAAGTGCCGAATGTTATGGAAGTGCGAACAAGTGAACCAAGCAAAATGGATGATGGTTTCGAATCCAAGCGACAGATAAGCCATGGTGATCGTGAAATGGTTGAAGTTAGTGAGGTGGATCGTGCACGAAAATCTGACGAAGCCATCGGTGAGCGTGAGGAACGAAGTCGTGCAGCGACACGACAACATTCTATGGCCTCATCGACATTCTCGGATGAGTCGTCCACCCAACTGGACAGTGGCTATGCAACAGTGGCGAGTGCAAGTTACGAGAATGAGCTTGGCCATGTTTTCGAGACGTCTCCGTTTGCTGCTACAGAGCAACAGCCCTATCATGATCGTCAACACGAGCAACGCCCAGAAGAAAAGGAACATCATGAACAGCAGCAGCAACAGCAGCAGCCACATCAATTACAAGAGCAGCCAATATCATCACAATCAAATCATGATTATCGTGTGTATACAAGTGATGATTTTGACTACACGTACGGTGACGATAGACGATACGTTTTGAACGATGAGGAATTTGAGACCGCTGATGATAAGGAGAACAGTTATCAGTTCGAGGATCGAACTGCAGCTCATTTGGATGATAGCGAAACTGCGTTTGAACATGAGGTACGTTTTACTGATTTACTACAACTTAACTCTTCCAGCAAAAAGAAAGAGTTCGTTTACTTTCAGAAAAATCTTTAACACATTCCTTGATTAGAGGAGAATTGATCTTCATGCCCATTCATCTGGCCCTTTTCTTTGTTGTCACCCATTGAAATTTTGTTGTGCAACATTGTGATTGAACGGAAATAGTGGAACGCAAAAGAGAGCTAATTCATTGAAATGATTATTCTTATTCAACTCAACAATTTACCATTCGAAATTCAACAATTACAAATCATCTATTTACTACTATTCGAAATCGCACTAAATTTTCACTGGAATCGTACAACTAATCATTCAAAGCGTATCACAAAAAATCGCTTTGTGCAACGTCTAGTGCGATTAGCACGTCAAATTTACGTGCTTTGTTAAGTCATCAATCAGTTGATTTCTATCAAGCTCATTTTATTCACACTGATTGTGTAGTTGATCTTCAGCAGCCATAATCGTGATAACATTCTGGAAACTTACAATTAGTGTATTTTTGAACTCTGCTGCGTTCGATGATTGCATCAGAAGGAAACTGAAGAAGTAGCACATTGTATTGCCATAGTGCAATCGAATTGTTTCCGATTTTAATCTAGTACACAGTTCTCAGACAAATGAATTCCTTATTGTCAGCAGACAACATTTCATTGATCGATGTTCAGACGTCTCAGCAATGGACTGGCCGAAAGCCACGAATGTGGACGACTGTATTTGCGGATGATGAGGAGAAATCGGAGCGTGATTATGGTACAAATGTGGATGCAGACCTACCTGAAGAACATCAGCTAGTTGATGACACCTATCATCCTAAGGATGGCGAACCTTCACAGATTGTTCACGGTCCGTTCGAGTTCTGCTTCATTCAGCTTTTCTTTAATATGTTCCAATTGAACGATCAAAATGCTCTCATTTCTGTGATGAACTTCTTCAAACAAATCATGTTATTCACATGTTACTCAATGTGATTCACATGCATTCACATGCAGTTCAGAATCGAAATCAACATTCCGAGTTTTCACGGAGATCTTCCTACCGAATTTCACAGAGATCATGCTTACCCAGTTTCAGATCACCCGGCTGAATCCATGGTCGAATATTCGGCTGGTGGATTGCAGTCGCCGAAAGGTTTTCCATTTGCAACTTTCTTCATTTTTTCCCTGGTCATTGTTGTTGTTGTTGTGTCCTTCACATTTGGAGGCGAATGACTTTTCTGATGAAGTCGTTCTACTTCTTTTCCCCAATGATTTCATATATACATTAAATTTTTCCTCCTAAATCGCTCGGCATGTAGTAAATACGTTTGACATTAGTACTTAGTGATTCGCATAAGATTATCATATGTTTAGATGCAATTCAAATGGACGATATCGTGTACGATTCATTCGCAGCCAGTGAGCATATGGATGTGGACGATGCGCGTCTCATCTCGATGTTTCATCAGAAAGCCAAAGGTCATTTTGATGACGATGAGAGGAGGTCTGATACTGGCAGCACTCAGTTTACATCCCCAGCAACCTCAGCTTCAAGTGCCCTTATTCAAGCAATACCCCGCACCGTACGTTCCACTTATTTTTCCTTCACGACCAAATTTACCGTTGATAATACTGTGAAGCAAGAAAGAAATCTGCAAAGATGTGCCCCATTATCACAAGACTATCAGACAAGCCTATACAGCACTAAAAAGATGATTTGCAGCAATCTTCATCAACTGCATTAGACAGGTCGCCTGCCATCATCTTACCTGCTCAACAGCCTTCTCCATTTGCTCAACCTGAAGTCAAAAAACCGGCTGATATCATTCGGTTTGTCAAGATTTTCAATATTACTTTGTCTTGAGATTCGATCGTCGTATTTAAAGCAGATAGTGCCTAAGTCATGAGTTACCAAGAAACAGTCTATGGAGTGATGTTGAAAAGTGTTCAGTGCAGTAAAGTTGAGGAATTCCTACGTGCTTATAATTTATTTTTATTGAATGCCATTCTCGTTGTTGCACAGATACATGAGAAGCTGAACAAGTAAAAGAAGATTTATTCGGTAAGTTGCGCATCTTCAACAGAAACTTTTTTAGACCTCCACCGGCGATAACAGTAACCGTTCACGAGGAGCGCAATCGAACAAGCGATGACGATTCAGACGGGGAGACAAGCCCGTCATCGGATGAGGACGATTACCCCGATCAGGTTGATTTTCTTAGATTCTTCCATACGCCTA